TTGTTTTTTTTTTCTTTTTTTTTTTTCATTTCTGTCCTTATTTTACTCACTGTAAACCTTTAGAAGCTATTGTAAGAACCTGTATATGCCAAAGTACTAGCACTTCTTTGTAAGAGGCAAAGCTCCAGCTTTATTGTTTCTTCACAACTTTCTAAGAGTTGCAGACCAGTCTATGCTGGAAAGGGCCCAGGAGTTACCTTCAATATTTTTCTAGCCCCAGAAGAACAGAACAAGCAGCGAATTAGCTTGAGTTCACCTGTTAATGACCTAGTTTATGGTCATAGAGTCCTTTGCTGTTGCCCTCTTTTATGTATTTAAACCCTCCTGAATACACCAGAAAATAATTTGTTTATTCCTGTCTGGATACAAATTCCTTTCCTGGTTTGTGCTGCACTGGGGCCTTTTTACTTGTTTGTGGGATATGGTCTCCTCTTTTCCATTTCTACTGCACTTTGCTTACCGGCTGGCAGCATTCAGGCCATCCTGTTTGTGCATCGTGCCAGGCACAAAAGGAAAGTCATAGCAGTGCTTAACCATTTGGCTCAATAACATTTGGCTTAATATTCTGGCTTTCTCCTGAGACTGCTGAATTTCCTGGAGGTAGTCCGATGTTTCAGGTGTCCTAGAAGCACTGGTGGGAGAAGAAACCAACATCCCCAAAGCCACGGAGTATCAGCTAACACCTTGGCAAACAAACAAAAACACACAACTCTGTTGAGCCCAGAAGACTATTTAGTTTGAGAAAGAAGAGCTATGTCTCATGTCTTTTCTACATCTTTTCTTTCTGAAAATAGCATAAAATGTGCCCGCCCTTCACCCTTTCACAGCAGCTCTGTGGATTTTATGTTCTGTATGAGCATGGAATGAGACAAATGAGAAAATTTGTAGGATTAAAGACTGCAGCATAATGTATATGTGCTAGGGGACCCAGTTAAGAATATAGGGAAAATTGGAAATCTTTTACTTCTCCTAACTTGCAGAAGTTTGGTTTAAAACCAAACTATTTTTCTTTTATTGTACTTCTTTGGGGAGGAGATTTTTTTTGGCTTGTAGCAATGGAAACAGGATTGAGTGAAAGCTCTTCTACTTCTAGCAAACTCTGTTTTACAAACTCTGATAAACACAAATTCAGCTCACAGAAGAAATGGTGGTGTTGGCCCTCGGTGAGGTCAGGCATCTTGCTGGGGAGTGTCCCCCCCTTTCTCTAGCTGCCAGGATTATGTTTGGAAGGGGGTGAAAGGAGGACTTCTGCCCCGTTTGGGATCTCCAGTGGAAGGAAGATTAACTTCTAGAGGGCTGTGAAGTGTTGGGAGCGTGATCCATGCTCCATGTTCAAGGAGCCCTTCGTAACTCGCTTCCCTACCACAGTGCTGGTGCAAGTCGCAGCTCTTTAACCTTGTGTAGATCCTCAGGTACCTTATGTTCAGTTGCTGTTTTGAGATTTTGGCAGCATTTTCTTGCAGATTGGAACCAACAAAGTTCCCAAAACCTAAATGTTAATTGTGAGGAGTATCCTTCAAGAATATGTATGGAAGGTTTGGTACTAGCTCCACCTAGTGCACATATGTGCACAGAAACATGTAAAACATTGTGTTTAAAACATTAGTACAACAATTATGTGTAAATATATACTTCTGAGTTCACTATACAACTTTTAATTGTTGCTTACATGTATAATGGGCTAGCAGTATTCAAGCAAGCAAAACTAGTGTTGTTCTCTTGGCTTTACTCGCAGTTAGCTGTATGATTTTAGAGAATGATCTATCCTATTATTGATTGGCAGAGGTGTTATTCTCAGTTCTGGGATTGTTATTCCAATTTTGAATAAGATCAACGTGCCAAATTGCTTACTGTTTTTGGTTGGTTGGTTTTAATTTAATATTAAATAGAAAGCCCTACTATTGATTTATAAGTAGGCATTGTTGAGTTCTGCAAGTATTATAGGGCTGGGATTCAGTTTGAAATTAAGACACCCAAGTGTAGGTTTCTGAGTTGTCTGCATGTGAGTTAGAAATTTAGGTGCCCATTATGGACTGTGGAGATTGTCAGTGCAGTCAAATGAAGTTTGGAGATCAATTTGGCTCACTCCCTGGTAGGCCCATAAGCCTTGATTCAGTTGCCTGAACATGTGTCTACTGACATTTTAAGATTTTCCTAAGACAGCCTTGGATGTCTAGCTTATCCAAATCATCTTGGCAGGCTTTGAAGATATGTTTTTCAACCCACAGACAAATCTGGAAGTTTCTGAATTGGCAGCTGGATGACAGACAGGGGACCTTGGCCAAAATGCTACTAAACATCTGGTGAGCAAATCAACGGAGTCTGTAGTAAATGGTCACCTGAAATGATCTCCACTGACTCATTGACTAGATTGTATCCTGCAATCACCAGCAGACGACACCAGCATTTCTGTGTCTTAATCTTCGGCTTCAAGCTTAAAGAGTGTGTCTTCAGTTCTTGGTGATTACAGGGCAACCACTGAATTCCAGGTTATTTTGAAGAAAATAGTCTTGCTTTTATCACTTTGGTAGAGAACAGTATGTACTTTTCTCTATACAACAGAAATATGTACATGCTTTTATTTTGGCACCAAAAATGTGCTAAAGGCTAATATTATAAAAACAGCACCACAGCAAATACCAGTTAAAGATATTATGTAGTCGCAACATTATTCACAACATTATAATGCTTATAATGCCATTAATTAAGGGGGGGGAGGCAAATGTAGTAGAAAAAGGCCATGTCTGAAAAATGGAGGATCAACAAACTGTCTCATGCTAAGGCTTGTGATTATCTAGCACAGCTGTTTTAAATTATGCATCAGTTTTTGCACTAAATTAGGTGGCAATTATGCAGAGATATTAATTATGAAATCATTCAATAGTCTTCAATTTTGTTGGAATCCATAAAAGTACAATGAAGTGAACATAAAAATAGTTGTGTTGCATTCAAGTACCATAAACAAAAAAAAGTGCCCCAGCATTCAAAAATTATATAACAGAATGTAAAATAAA